TTTTGGTCGTTAAACTAGAAATTCATTATATTTGAACTCTGAAATTCCAAATTTAAATTTTGAATATTTAGATTTCAAATTACAAAGAAGTGAACATAGATTTGTAACACCAGACTTTATTCTAAATTACTCCATAGATAAGTTTGAGCCAAAGTCTAAATTCAAGCTATTTGAATTTTCAAACATGAAATTAAGAATTTTTAACTCTCAAACAAGTCCATAATTAAGTACTCCCTAACACTAGGCCCTAGCTAGATTTATATTCCGTAATGAGTATTACTATTAATTAGATGGATCGGAGTAATTAAGAGAGTAACAAAAATATAATAATAATAATAATAATAATAATAATAATAATAATAATAATAATAAAAGAACCTTTCTTTCGCGAATGAGTTTGAGAGAAGAGTCCACGTCTTCAATGAGCTCGGTGAGTTGTTCAAGGCTCAGATCGTTCAGGCTCTCCCCCATCCTCAGCCTATTTTTTATTTACTCATCATCAACATTAATAATCATCATCATATTAATTATTAACATATTTATTTCTAGATCAATTTTTTTAAGAAAAAAAAAATATATTTTAATGTAATAATATCTTTTATTAGTGTCACGATTTCATAGTTTCTATATCTTCTTCAATCTATTATTAGTAGACCTGATTTCCTTTCGAAGAGCGCGGTTCACATCTCTCAGTTTCTTCAACTGATCTTGCATTTGCTGTACCATACAAAACAAAAAATTGGGTAAAGAAAAAAAATCAATTAAAGAATATAATGCTCCGTATATAATTAAGTGTAATTAAAAATTGGTGATATTAATTAATTAATTGTTTAAGGACCTCGTAGTGGGAGCTCCAAAGATCAATATTGAGAGCTTTTTGGTACTGATCGAACAGCTGCTTGGTACTATATATAATTTAAAAAAAAACATGGAATTAATTAATAAGAAGGAGAAAGAGAAAAGAAATTTAAAAAAGAGAAAAACAGTGTAAAACAAAACAAAATAAAAATAAAAAGAAAAAAAGAGGCCGGGCAAAAGGAACGAACGAGAGGGAGGGGCTGATGTATTCATGGAGCTTGCCGGACATGGAGATCATGATGATGGAGACCTTGGCGTCGCAGAGGACGGTGAGCTCGTGGGCCTTCTTGAAAAGCCCATTTCTCCTCTTGGAGTAAGTCACCTGCCTGTTCGTCTGGTTCTCTATCCTCTTTATCTGTATCTTCCCTCTCGCCATTCTACTCGATCTCCAGATCTGATCAGCTGATCTCTTTTCTTTTCCCCCTCTCCCTTCTCTCTGATGATCTCTCTCTATATATCTCTATCTCTAACGGTAGTTTGATGTATGTATGATGGATATTGATAATGGGGTTTAGTAGTATAGGTAGGTATGGTAGCTAGGGGTGCGTGGGGCCGGATACTACACTAGTCCTTCCTTTTAATTTCTTTTTCTTTTCTTTTCTCTCTTAAATAAAAGATTGAATCTCTCATCTCTGGAAGGTAAATTATATTTTAACCACATATTATATTGGAAAACTCACGTTCTTTTTTACTAAATCCACCACTTATATGTTGATGACTCTAGAAAACAAATGATGTTATATATTTTAGTGTAATTGGATGGAATAACTATTTGACCAAAATAATCATAAAAATAATTGGTTTTTATTTTGGACAACGCTTGAGCTTTTAATTTTCGAAATTTCGTGTATAAGATTTTTCTAAAAAAGCACGCCTCTTCTTCTGGTTACGGGATGTGCGGATGTTAAGAAAAGGGCGCGACTGCATCTCTTCTCCTTCTCCGTTTCTGTAAAATCCGCGATGAGCACGCATGGTCAAATAAATACATGGAAAGTTTGGAAATTCATCATAACACGTACTTGTTCTTGATCGACACGGTTTGACTTGGTTTTATTCGATTGATTTTGGAGTGATTGATGAACACACCCAAATAATCAATCTGAAAGTGTGAGCACGACGACCCTCAGACAAAATCCATGCCATTTAATTATTCCCCCAACAAATGATGAGGGTAGAAGCGCACTAATTAATTAAAGTGGAGAGGGTAATTAATTAATTAATTAGTTCTTGCTGCGCTTTAAGTATGAGAGGATTTATTTTAGAGTGAACTAGCTAGCTAGTCAACACTACCCAACAAATTAATTAAAGAAAATAATGGATGGGAGGGAGGAGTACAGTACGTATGGCATGCAGAGGACGGACGTAAGTGGTGCATAATTATTGTTGCGAGAAATGCTTAAGAGAAAAGAGTTTCCCTAAAAGGAAAGGAATACCAAAAGTGTGAAAGGCAAAGCTTCAAGGGTGATAAAGCTGTAAGACCAACTCTCTCTTTCTGTTACTAGCTAGCTAGCTAGTGGTATACTCCCTCCGTCCCCAATTTGATTACAAATTGCGGGTTACGGAGCAAAATTTCTTACTTTTTGAAATCATTTTATTTACAAATTGGCATATCAATAAGATATAAAAATTACATATTAAAAAACTACGTCAAAAGTTCTACAAAACAAGAAGTGACAAGAATATTTTATTTTATCAAATACTTGATGAAATCGCGTAAACAAACAAAAGTTATCGAGAGGAGAGAGAAAAAAAGATTGTAATCTATTTGGGGACGGAGGAAGTATATGTATATACGGAGTATGTATGTAGCCTACACACACCAATATATATATAACTCATTATTGTGTCCGCTAGTTTTTCTTGGCGTTTCACGTCTACCCTTATCATCTCTTTAATTTGGACGATGGGATCACAAGAAAACCCAAAGTGTTAATTAAGGGCGTGCATGCGTGGCCCACCTAGTTAATTAGCTCATTCCTCATTCTCTAGCTAGTGATTTGCTAGTCCTAACTCCTAAGTCCTATGACTAGCTAGTACATAGACTTGCTCACATAATTTTTATTTTGATACTTGGTTCAAAATTTTAGAAAGGCTCCTCAACATTGTAAAAGGTCAAAATACTACTCCCTCTTTTTCTTTAAAGAGTTTCACTTTCATTTGTTTTTAATTTTTCAAAACACTCCTACTCAGCTCTTACAAAAGAATGACAAATATATTCAGATAAAGTTATTGCAATACACTATATCCATTTTGCATTGATATAATAAGCTATTTAAATAATTTGTCTTTCTTTTTTCTTTGACGTTAATGATATAATTAAAAAGTCATATTATAAAAAATAAATTGCATATGTCAAAATACAAAATAGAAACTCTTTTTTTAAAACGGGAGGAGTACAACATAAGATTCACAAATTTTTTTTCCTAATTGATACTCCTCCCTCTATATATCTCTTTTTTTTAGTATTACTCCGTACTCACTTATTACAAAGTACTCAATATAATATTTGTTCAAACATATTTTCTCAACTTACAAAGTACACATGTGTTTGAACGAGTTTAATACTCCCTCCGTCCCTCATAGATCTTCCCAATAGCCTTTTTTCTTTTTCCACAATAGATCTTCTCATTTCATTTTTTAACAATTAAAATACCACAACTACCCCCACTTACTTTATTTATTACACCTCACCCACATCATTTAATACACTCAACCTATTTTCATTAAGGGTATTATGGTAAACTTTTACTTTTTTTCAACTCTCCTTAAAACCAATTCAAAATGAGAACATCTTAGGGGGACGGAGGGAGTATCTAGAACGTTGTCCAACCACTCAAGTCAAGGAAAAAGTTCATTCCTCTATCTCATTTGAGTTTAATATATATAGTTATAGAGTATTATTTAAACAGTCAAATTATTCTCTTTCTTTACATTTTTTATTTAAAAGAATATTATATTTATGAATTATATCATCTTTGTTCTATCAGTTCCAAAGAATATTAATGAACTTAAGTTGTGTTTGGTTAGGGGAAATATTTTTCTAGAAAAATATTTTCCAAGGAAAATGCTTTCCAAGAAAAATTATTTTCTAATCATATTTTTAGTTGTTTTATATGAAGAAAAATGTTTTCTTATAAACAATATTTTCCATTGCTAATATTTGAAAATTAATATTAAAAAACCTATTTAAAATAATTTAAAATTATTTTAGTATATGTGCGATAGTGGGAGGCGCAACGTGGATATGGGGCGGTGGCATGGGCGGGTGGACGAATTTCATGGCCGGGTGGGTGGCAAGTGGCGTGAGACAATGGGTGGGGATATGGTGCTCTGGTGGATCGGCTTGGGGCGAGGGTAGGATGATTGGTAAGGTGGACGGGGTGGAGTGGGTGTGGACGGGGGAGGGTATGATCTTGAGAGTGAGGAGTGGGGTGGCAGGGTGGAGCTAGGTGGACGATGGTGGAACCAGGAAGATGAAGGAGGAGAACGTGATAATTTAGGCTTAGGAACTTGGGAACTTGGGATGTTTTTAGTATTTTTTAGGTCTTTTACACTAAAGCATTAATCCATACAAGTAATTTTAGTGATATAGAGTAACGTTAATGAGCTATTGGCCGAATGAAGAAATAATACTTTAGTAACTTTATTTTTTAACATGGTCCAGTAACTTAGTTTCTAGAAAATATAAATAGTGTATTATTTGTATCGGGTCGGGCCGCCTACGGGCGCAAATATCAAAGTCTTGCCCGCACGTAATTACTCTAGCCCAAGCCCGTAGGTTTTTGAGCGGGCTTTTACAGGCCGAGCGGATACTCGGGGCTGTGATCGGGTCTAGCAATTTGTTACGCTCAAATCGCTCAATGTTGCCATTAGACTTGTGTATAATTTTGTGTACCCATTTAGGGTGTTTGAGAAGGAGCTTAACCAAAAATCAGGTACAAAGTTAAAATTAGATTAAAAATAACTTTAGATATAATTACATTCAAATCAAATCAAAACTTATTCAAATCGAACCAGAATCATTTAGATCAGGTGAAGAGAATATGATAGAAGATTAGAAGTACGAAATATGATTTGTTAGTTGCTACAAAAAAGAAAAGTACAAAGACTATGAAAGGCAACCATGGTCCATGAATAAGACTGAAGCCCTCACCCATCTTACAAAATTTCAATCCCAACCAAACCATATTGCGAGCTCCCCAATTTGGCTCTCTCGGTTAGATATAGCACCACAACCCACTGATCCATTTTTGCAGTTTTAATTACGGAGTATTTATCAGATTCATACGGAATTTCTTCGATCCCGACTCATATCAAATGCACCGTCCCTCTCAGATCTGACTTCACCCCGGTATCAACATTCAATCTAAGGATTCAGATTTGCGCAGCCTGGAGATGATGCTGACGAAGTTCGAGACGAAGAGCAATCGGGTCAAGGGGCTGAGTTTCCACAGCAAGCGGCCATGGATCCTGGCCAGTCTCCACAGTGGCGTGATCCAGCTCTGGGACTACCGGATGGGCACCCTCATTGATCGCTTCGACGAGCACGATGGACCCGTTAGGGGCGTTCATTTTCACAACTCCCAGCCCCTATTCGTATCTGGAGGTCTGCTCCCTTTTGCTTCTCTTTCTCTCTGGATTTACTGATATATATTTTTTTTCATGATTTCTGAATTTCTCGCCATGATTTGTGTCTTTATGTGTTGCGGCAGTGCTTTTCATTTCTGACGATGCAACCAACAATCTCTTTTTGATTATACAGATCATATTTAACTACCTTGTACTGCTTTTACCAATTGAAGCAAAGTAAATTTGTGAAAGATCTTTGAAGCTTGTTTGATGTGTTGTGTCTGTCATTGCTCTTTGAAGATCTGAAATGAATTTTTCTATAGTCCATATCCAGAGAGGGTCACTTTTGGTTTGGGTTTAGAAAATGCTTTTATAAAAAAACACTTTCCACATATGATGAATGTACATTTCAATTATTTCCTTTTAACTTAAAGTTTTTTAAGATGATAATTGCAAATGTTTGTAATCCATATGCATAATGTCTTCAAGTGATGAAATACCTAAAATCAGTATTTATGTAGCTTAAAAAAATCTAAACTATTTCAAAAGCACATCCAAAAAGTCCATTACTCCCCTATGTGGAAATTTCTGCAGAGTAATTTCCTTAAGTTTTCAGTTGCCTTATTTTGCAACCATGTTTTCGATTTGTTTACTGCTTGTTTTGGTTCCAATTATTGCAGGCGATGATTATAAAATCAAGGTATGGAATTACAAGCAGCATAGGTGTTTGTTCACTCTCCTTGGCCATCTTGATTACATTCGAACCGTTCAATTTCACCATGAATCCCCCTGGATTGTTAGTTCAAGCGATGATCAGACAATTAGGATATGGAATTGGCAATCTCGAACTTGCATTTCTGTCTTGACGGGTCACAACCATTATGTGATGTGTGCCTCATTTCATCCCAAAGAAGACTTGGTTGTGTCAGCATCTTTGGATCAGACAATTCGGGTCTGGGATATTGGTGCCCTGAGAAAGAAATCAGTTTCGCCTGCTGATGACATACTGCGGTTAAGTCAAATGAACACAGATTTTTTTGGTGGGGTTGATGCTGTGGTGAAGTATGTGTTAGAGGGCCATGATAGAGGTGTTAATTGGGCATCATTTCATCCAACACTCCCCTTGATTGTTTCTGGTGCAGATGATCGCCAAGTGAAAATTTGGCGAATGAATGGTATGTGCCCTGTTGGGTCTTTGTTTTTGTTTGATATCAAATTTAATGTGTGTTGGTTTCTTTCTTCTCCTTTTACTCTTGATATTCTATTTTTTGGCAACAGAAGGTTCTTTTTGGCTTTTCATTCTTCTAACACTAGAACTTAGAAGTGAAGGAATCCTCTGTGAAGTAAACTTGGTTGCTCCGCATTTAACATGTTTGGTGATTCAACAAGCTAGTAGAACGATTGAAGTGTCCTCTTTCCCATTCAAAAAATTTATAATATTGGCTAGGAGTAATGCATGAAATGGACACACCTTATCAACATGCTTGGTTAGAGGGAGAGAAATTCCATTCTCTCAAATTCCCAAAAGCTACAATGTACAGTATTTGGTTGGCAGTAGTTTTTGTTCCATGGAATTTCAATTTCTTGATTTTAGGAATTCAAAGTCTGAATCACATCCCTTCCAAATATAGCCAAATATGGAGTAGTTTGTTAAACTTCACAGGACATGGGAGAAAAAATTTAAAACTACCTTCAGTTTGTCATTTTCACACATTTACGGCTCCATATTGGAACTATGTGTCACAATGTGATTAACATTAGTGTTCGGATAGGTTTTTAATGGTACATATTAACTTAAGAATGCTAGCGTTAACTAAGCAAATAAAGTTTGGATTTTCAGATTTTCAGATATTTTGAGTTCCTTATCAATTTCTTTTCTCATGACACACCCCTCCCTCCCCATTTGTGTTCAGAGTATTCTTTTATGGGTCAATAATTTTTTAAAAGAAAATCAGTGGAGCGCAATGGTGTAAAATTTTAATGGAGAGTTTGTGTTTTCCCTCTCTTTACTTGACTAAGGGAAATCATGTAATGGAATCTAAGTGAAAGGAGAAACACCTTAAAGTCGTCGATATTATTTAATTTTAATGGTAAACGTTTACATCTATCCATTTGATTAAAAATAGCTTTATGTTTGGAGGGTAATTTGCTAATAAGATTATGTTTCAATATTCCACATTTAAGTTGGATTAGATTCATCCATTCCCAATGGGATTTACATACTTTCTAAGGAAAGTGATTCCGTATTGACTATGGTCAACGTTCTCCTACCAGTGGGATGCCAAATGGTTGAAAGCATTTCCCATGTTTAAGTTCTCCTGAAACCATACTGAATGTCCTCTAAGGGTTGCTGGGTTATGTCTAGAGATCGTACACACGTGACTCATTTCATAGACAAAGTTTAGTAGCTACTCCTAATGTTCAAAATGCTATTGAGTTTTATTTTTTCAGCAAAACTCTAGATTTAAAAGACTTTGAATTTTTCTCTGTTTTGAAATTTTCTATTTTTGTCAGTATTTTGTCTCAATTTTGTATAATATATTCTTCTGCTAGTTAATCAATTCAAATGTGTATAACAGTAATGTTTTCAATCTTAGCATTTGTGTATGAGACTTGTTTTCATTCAGCCAATCTTTCTGGAAAACTAGTAGATCTTTGTCTTTTCCCTTGTCAACTGTTAGAGTTGTGAACAATTTAGTAGTTTTTTTTCCTGAGTTAGTATTTAGGTAATATAATTGTTGTTATAAGTAGTAGTTTTTTTCAACTGTCTTTGATTCTTGGCATCCTTATTTATTAATAGATACCAAAGCTTGGGAGGTGGACACATTAAGGGGCCACATGAACAATGTTTCCTGTGTTCTATTTCATCCCAGACAAGACATTATCGTCTCCAATTCAGAGGACAAGAGCGTCCGTGTATGGGACGCTACAAAAAGGACTGGTCTCCAGACTTTCCGAAGGGAGCATGACAGGTATTGGATCCTTGCATCCCACCCAGAGATAAACCTATTAGCAGCTGGTCATGACAGTGGGATGGTAGTATTCAAGCTGGAGAGAGAACGCCCTGCTTTTTCTGTCAGTGGTGATTCTCTGTTTTATGTGAAAGACCGCTTTCTCCGAGTCTACGAGTATTCAACTCAGAAAGACACACAGTTGATACCCATTCGTAGGCCTGGTTCAAGCAGCTTGTTGAATCAAAGCCCACGAACCCTCTCCTACAGTCCCAGTGAAAATGCTGTATTGATATGCTCAGATGTGGATGGGGGTTCTTATGAATTGTATATTGTTCCTAAAGATGGTTCCGGGAGGGGTGATACAGTCCAAGATGCAAAAAGAGGAGCAGTTGGGGGATCAGCAATTTTTGTTGCCCGAAACAGGTTTGCTGTTCTTGAGAAGAGTACCAACCAGGTTCTTGTCAAGAATCTTAAAAATGAAATTGTCAAGAAAAGTGTTCTCCCTATGGCGACCGATGCGATATTTTATGCCGGCACTGGAAATTTACTTTGTAGGGCAGAGGACAGGGTGATGATCTTTGATCTTCAACAGAGAATCGTTCTTGGAGATCTTCAAACCCCTTTTGTTAGGTACATTGTTTGGTCACAAGAAATGGAGTCTGTTGCCTTGCTCAGCAAACACTGTATTGTTATAGCTGATAAGAAGCTTTCGCAGCGATGCACCCTTCATGAGACCATTCGTGTCAAGAGTGGAGCCTGGGATGACAATGGGGTTTTCATATACACAACCCTAACCCACATCAAGTATTGTCTTCCCAATGGGGACAATGGGATCATCAAGACCCTAGATGTACCAGTCTATATTACTAAAATCTATGGAAACACCATCTTTTGTTTGGACAGGGATGGGAAGAACCGGCCAATCATCATTGATTCGACTGAGTACGTTTTCAAGCTCTCCTTGTTGAGAAAGAGATACGACCACGTAATGAGCATGATAAGGAACTCAGAACTGTGTGGGAAAGCCATGATTGCATATCTTCAGCAGAAGGGGTTTCCAGAGGTGGCCCTCCATTTCGTGAAAGACGAGCGGGTCCGCTTCAACTTAGCATTGGAAAGTGGAAATATAGAGATCGCACTTGAATCCGCCAAAAAGATAGACGAGAAAGACCACTGGTATAGGCTCGGGGTGGAGGCCCTCCGGCAAGGGAATGCCGGCATCGTCGAATATGCTTACCAGAAGACAAAGAACTTTGAGAGGCTGTCGTTTCTCTATCTCATAACCGGGAACCTGGAGAAGTTATCCAAAATGATGAGGATTGCTGAGGTTGAGAATGAAGTGATGGGTCAGTTTCACAATGCTTTGTACCTTGGAGACATTCGCGAACGTGTCAAGATTCTGGAAAAAACCGGTCATCTCCCCCTTGCTTACCTCTCTGCGTCGGTCCATGGGCTCAGTGATGTAGCCGAGCTTCTTGCTTCAAAACTCGGCGACGATAATGTCCCTTCTTTGACAACTAAGCAGAAAGAGACACACTCTCTCTTGTTGCCTCCTATTCCTATTTCCAGTCATGGTGGAGATTGGCCTTTGCTGATGACCTCCAAAGGTATATTTGAAGGTTCACTACTACTAAACAATAGAGATGGTGGGGGGGATGATATAGAGGTAGACGACGACGGGGAGGGTAATTGGGGGGAGACATTGGATGTCGTCGGTGATGATGTCAGCGTCGTTCCGGATGAAGAAGCCAGAGAAGGTGAAGGAGAAAACGAAGACGGCGGGTGGGACCTAGAGGATCTGGACCTACCACCCGCCGAAGCCGACACGCCAAAGAACACCCCCAACTCCGCCACGCGTTCTGCCTTTGCGGTCCCCACTCCCGGAATGCCCGTGACCCAGATCTGGGCACACAAGTCTTCCCTCGCCGCCGAACACGTCGCCGCCGGCGACTTCGACACGGCAATGCGGCTACTGAACCGACAACTAGGGATCAGAAACTTCGTCCCGCTAAAGCAATCGTTCATCGACCTTCATTCGGGCAGCCACACCTACTCCCTCGCCTTCTCTACCGCACCCGTCCTCTCGATTGCCCTCGAGAGGGGTTGGAGCGAGTCAGCAAGTCCTAACGTAAGGCGTCCCCCCGCCCTCATCCTCACTTTCTCACAGTTGGAAGAAAGGCTCAAAAACGGCTACAAGTTGACAACCCAAGGCAAATTCTCGGACGCCCTCCGGACTTTCCAGGGGGGAATCCTCCACGCAATTCCCCTTATAGTGGTGGAGTCACGCCGAGAGGTGGACGAAGTCAAGGAACTGATAACCATAGTTAAGGAATACGTTCTGGCGTTGAAGATGGAGATGAAGAGGAAGGAGATGAGGGACGACCCGGTCCGGCAGCAGGAGCTGGCGGCGTACTTCACCCACTGCAACCTTCAGGTCCCACACTTGCGGCTCGCCCTGCAAAACGCGATGACCGTTTGTTACAAAGCGGGGAACATGGTCACGGCGTCCAACTTCGCGCGGCGCCTCTTGGAGACGAGCCCCACCAACGAGGCCCAGGGCAAGTTGGCGCGGCAAGTCATACAGGCCGCGGAGAAGAACATGAGAGACGTCTCGCAGCTGAATTACGACTTCAGGAATCCCTTCGTCACATGTGGGGCCACTTTCGTCCCGATTTACCGTGGGCAAAAAGACGTCGCCTGCCCTTTCTGTTCTGCCCGTTTCGTCCCCGCCCAAGAGGGGACGCTTTGCGCTGTTTGTGATCTTGCGGTGGTCGGAGCGGATGCTTCTGGTTTGCTTTGTTCTCCAGCACAGACCAGATAAGTAGTAGTCATCTTCATCCATATCTATCTGCATTTTATACGTAGGATGAGTTTTCTTTTGTCTTCTAAAATGGTGGTCGGATTGTATTGTTGGTTTATATTTGTTGTGATTTGGGTGCAGTTGTTGGGGGTTTTACGAACAATTTTTTTTTTTACCCTTTTTGGTGTTTTATCATTTACAAGCACATTCTTCATCACTGTAATAAAGATTGTAATTTTTTTTACGGGTGGGGGTGTGGTAAAATGACCATACAATGTTCAAAGGTTTCAGAAATTTTACACCAACAGCTTGTGGTACACCTTTGAAACAATCTTTATTGTTTTGTTTATTTTGACTTTTCATGGTTAAATGACAAATGTAATGAGCTTGACTTTTACGTAATTTCAAAAAAAGTACATTCTGAGTTTAATGAAAATGGTTTCAAAAAGAATTGTCTTGCAAAATACATTGATATCATTTTTTATAAACTACATTTTAAGTTTATTATGATAACAATAACAATCAAATATTCACTTTGGAAATTATAAAAGTCAAAACGAACAAAATCGTTAGAAAGGATTGATGTACTAATAAATTGTGGGTATTTCCTTGTTAGTATATAGACGTAGTATTGAAATCATTTTTTTTAAACTACATCCAACTCACAATGTTTGTTTAGTTTTGATACTCGTATATTTTAGTCAAAAAGTCAAAATGGATAACTTTTGGACATAAATAAAATAAAATTGATATTAAATATTGATACAAACTAATTTTATTAGATTTATCTTGTGAAATAATTTTGGAATATAATTTTATCTAATTAGGAGTAATAAATTGCGGAGCATATATTATTTATTTAAAAATAACTAAATAAGCTATCGGATGATAATAATTGATAATAAAAAGTTAAAACTGCACAAATATTTTGGTATACAAATAGTCGTTTAAACATACTAAAAACTAAAACCTAAGTCTAAAAATTTAATCCCCCCCCTCTTGTCTCTTATACTCCGTATATCTTTACATGCACTATCTACCGAGTCAAATTTAACTCATTTTCTTTACTTATTTTTATTACTCATTTTACAAAATAATATAATCTTGTTATCTCTTATTTTGTACTCCGTAGTTTTTTAATGTAATTTTATACTCCGTACTATATAAATTTTATTTTTAAATTTTACATTTATAATCAAACAAATTATATTAAAAATAAAATCGATCAAGTCTCTTAACACGTAATGAGAAGATCTATGCTCTGTACTATCTAATTGGCATTCTTGTACGCTCCATATAAACTAATGCTCCATACTCTGTATTATCTATTGGTATTCTTATATGCTCCATACAAACTAATGCTTTCCTTTAATCCATTCTTTCCAATTAGTTTTCAGATCAAGTTAGCTCATCAGTTCAATTCAATTCAACAATTTGTCTAGTCCGTATTAAATTCACTTTATTTCAATAAATTTTAGATAAAAAGAATAAACTCAAAATACGTATGAATTTTGTTTGCTGAGATATTCTTATAACTAATTTTATCTCCATAAATTTTTGTCTTAGTAAAAAAGAGCAATGTTAGCTTCATTAACAAAATGGTCACAAATTTACAAACTTACTATTTATGGTTTAAATTCTCATAATAAAAGTATTTTAGACTATTTTTTATTGAAGTTCATAAATAATAAGTTGGGTCATGCTACAATTACACCACAAATTGTACCCTATTTGTACACTGCAGTTATACACAAACATTTTGATGGTTTACACCGACACAAGTGTTGGTGCGTTAAAAAAAATTTACACGGACACAAAGTATTGGTGCATTAACAAAAATTAGTTTTACACCAACACAAAGTGTTAGTGCAAATTTGCGGGGTACAAAGTGGGGTACAAATAGCTTTATCCTAATAAGTTTGTTAGATTTGTGACCAAATTTTTTTTTACCCAATTAGGTAGACTTTGTGATAACGAAAATGGAATGACTTTATTAAGCTCAAAGATTCGATTTACTCGGTACTTTTACCTCAACCCAAAAAGAACATACGGAGTATATCTTGTCTACCAATTTAAAAAGTCCGCTTGATTGAAGCTATTTTTAATTCAATTAATTTGAGAATCTAGATAGAATTTGAAAATAAAATTTATATATTTAAAAATTTCATTAAAACTTCTACAAAATACTCCCTCTGTTTCTTAAAACCCTTCCTCTTTCATTTTTTTGTTTTTCTTAAAACACTTCCCTTTTCTATTAAAAAAACCACTTTTACCCCTACTTTTTTCATACCCTACCTATCACATCAAACTTTTTCACTAATAACTAAACTATCACATCTTACTTTTACCCATCACATCAAGAGCAAAATTGGAAAGTCAACTACAATTTAACACTTTTTTATTTTCCTCCAAAGTCAAAAGAGGAACTCTTTTGAGAAACGGATGGAGTAAGAGACAACATTACTATATTATTTTATCAGAGCTAACGAAAAATAAGAATAAGAATAAAATTGAACCATGTGAATACTAAGTAAATAATTTAATTTGGGTCAAAATTATGTACGAGTAGAATACTTATTACGAGTAGAATACTTCATTGTAATTTGGGTCAAAAGAATAATTCCGTATTTTGAAATTATGTACGAGTAGAATACTTTATTGTACGGTACAAAAGAGGTAGGAATACGTACCTGTATACTACGTATCTAAATAGGGTCACAGTCATCACACCTACGCCTTTCCTTTATAAAAAGAGTTTCTCTTAATTTTCATTTTTTGCTCTCTTTAAAACACTTTTATTTTTTTCCAAAAAATCACAGAAATATTCAAATAAAGTCATTGCAATATATTCTATCCATTTTGTATTATTATAAATTTATAATTAATATTTTAAATAATTTGTCTGTCTTTTTTTATTCGATACCAATAATATAATAATTAAAAAGTTAAATATTAAAATAAATCTGTCAAAAATCAGAACTGAATCAGCTGAATTATTTTTGCAAAGGGAAGGAGTATTATATTGATGAACTCGTGAACTTTAAGCACCGAACATAGTGTTAAAGAACTAAACAAGTATTCGGTATAAAGTTTTTGGACTGTTTTCAAAAAAAAATAAAAAAATGAACAAAGATTGACTTTGAGCATTTTATTTGTGTGTTAAGAAAGGAAATGAAAAAAAAGAAAGAAATTAAAGATTAAAGAAGATAGACGACAAAAATACAAGGCTCCACATCTCTTTTTGACAAACATGCAACAAAGTACAAAGTAATGCTAGTATATAATTTATTAATTTTTTTCGAAGAAATATAGATTAATATTTAGCTCTTAATAAAACTACAAAAATGCTAGGGGTACACCATTTGGGGTACCCCATTTGTATTATGATAATTAAACACAAATGATTAATCAACTATTGATTGACCTCTAGTAAGAACTCTTCATTCTCATCATTTTGTCAAAAAATCTTTGATCCATATATTTAAACTCTCTCTTTCTATTTTTTTTATCAATATTAATTTACACTTGTTTCTGTTTTTTACTCATCTTCTCAACATAAATCACACTTAAATTTTTCTTTAGAAAAATGTGTATGTATGGTATATTCATTTTAATGCTTTAATCACAGGCAAAGTAAAACACACCATTTAATAAGAACTCGTTTTTATTACATCAGAAAATTTAAACCCAAAACTAATACTCCCTCTGTCCCAAAAAGTTTGTTACATTTAGAAAAAATTGTGTCCCGTAAAGTCCGTTAAATTTCTATTAAAAAACCAATTCTACCCCTTACTTTTTCATACCCTACCTATCACATCATACCTTTTTCCTAATAATCTACCCATCACATCCTACTTTTACCCATCACATCAAAGGTATTTTTGGAAAGTTAATACCAAAATATCCCTCCTTTAATTTCCCAAAAAGTCAAACCGTCCCATTCTTTTTGGGACGGAGGGAGTACAATAGTTCTCATATAAATCTCGATCATATAGCTCTCATATCAAATCTGTTAGCTCAACTTGATCAACAAGTAAGTTAATCAATTCTAGGACCCATAACTTTATTTCTACTTGAACCTGATGAATATCTCCTAATCAAAAATTAGGGGGTGAATGTAAGCTAATCAACTCATAATCTTATTTGAAAATCAGTCAACATTCACCCCCTATACTAATTTCTGAGTTGGATTCGAGGCGATAGGATCCTCAAGTACTCGAAGCTTGACTTCTTTATCTTGATTCTCCCGAGGCTCGTCATGATCCGTTGCAGTGTTATTTGAGCTCCACTTCTTTATTAGTTTTAATAATTAATTTTTGTACTTCCTCCCTCCCGTAAAATATTTTATATTTTGACTTTTGAAAGAAAAAACTGTAGAAGTTTGATCAAGATAAAACGACGATAATTGACACGAGTATGACTCGGGAATTGTCAAAATCAAAGGTAGAATTTAAAACCATTGTTATAATCATGTCAGCATCAAAAAAAGGAAGAAATAAAAAGCAACGAAGTGGCGTCAATTGGGGTTTCCTCATTTGGCTCATTATATACGTTTTTGGTTTGATAATAAAACCAGAAATGTATGTCTGCATAGTTCACATAAATTGACAACAACGTAACAAATTAACAATAATGTTTGGGTATAGAATTAAACTTGAATTGGTACATTTATGGGTGACAAGTGACACGAAAGAAGGATTTTCCATAGCTTCCTTCATCTATCCAATAACTAAAATTTCATTTGGATATCACACACAAATTAAAGCAAATTTTTAAGTGTTTGCCCTTTGAGTTTTGCCAATTCAATGACACTGAAATCATCAATTAAGGTTGAAAATACCGAGTAAGTTAGAGTGGGTGGTAGAAAAATGTGGTTAAAAATGTAAGGCTATTATAACATTTTTTGATGACCTCAGTAAACAAAAATAGAAATAATGGACTTTAGTTTGGAGGGCGAGACTAAAACTTTGGGAAAGAGAAAGTAAAAGTAATTATTTTCTGTCTGAATTTATTTATCACTTAATTATGTTTTGAGGGTTTTTTATGTATCAATGATCAATATCTTTATTTATATCAATATATATTATCAAAATATACTTTTTTAAATTATCTTTAATTTACAAAAATATCTATCGATATCAAACTTATATTATACTGAGTAACATAATGTGCATTTTTTATATTTTGTGGTTGTCAAAATTGAAAATATTAACAAAAGAAAGTCAATAACTTAACCTTTGTTTTTCCTGGAACATTGACAAAAACATTAATGTAGTTGCACTTATAAAACATATACAC